CGCTGCCACAGCCGATAATCCAAAAGAAAAATAAAGAAAAGGAAAAAAAATCCCACTCATGACAAGCATGCAAAGTCTCTGCTAAGTCTAAAATCAGCGTGATACTGTCATAAAAATACATCATTCTGGGAATTGTAAAACGACAAGCTTCAATACGCCTCTGTCGAATACAATCTTTTTGGCTGCACATATACCAGTAATCAATGACTCTGTAGCAGAATTGCCTCTTGCTAGCGCTTGTAAACTTTAACCCTTTCGCGAGCCACTTTAGTGAACTATAGTATACAAATCTAGGATAGTCGGTATCAAAAGGAGGCATTTTGCCTCCTTTAAGGCGGGTGAATGTCCACCTTCAAATCTTCCAAGTGTGATTTGCTTGGTTTTTCAATGCCCATAACGACTTGTCGTAAACGTACTTAATTATAAAAGGTGGCATTTTGCCTCCTTTAACATTTTAAGTTGCGCTGATGGGCTTTTGTGTAACTAAAAGAGAATTTACTGCAGTAAAATATGATACAAAGTTAATAATAATAATAACAATAAAAATGAATGACAATGAGCAAAACAAAACAATAATAGAGTGAAAATTCACTGTACACACCAATTAGTTAAATTTATGATACAAATGAAATTACATCTATTGCTCTGCGTTTATACAAGAAAAACAAAAAAAGAGAAGAAAATTGTGATGAACGTGGATTTGCACAAGATTTTTTAGAAACTGGAAGGCATTACCATATTTCTATTAAAATTGCTCAAAACCTTTCAATCCCAGAGACTTAAAATATCAGTACTTGTCGCACAAAAACGGTCTACGATAGCCAGGTTTAAAATTTTCTCCAGTCGTGGGAACTCTTCTATTATTATCCTGAAAAATTAACGTGTTCTGATTGGACCATCCAAAATAGTCATAAATACAACTGTGAGCACCTAGTCCAACGTTGTATAGTTGCCACATATCCATAATTGAACTTCCAGATAGAACTGCAAATAATGAAAATAACAAGCTTTTCGGAATGCTAGCAGATGCCGACGACGAGCTCACTCTATCGTTGACGCTATACTACTGTAGAAGCCGACAACGTTTGCGTCCTCGACGCGGATGAGTATACGGTCGAGTGAAGGCATTAGCGCGCGATATTCAACTAGGGCATCATTAAATTATGCGTGACTATTTCGGCCTTAATCTTGTCTACGATGAGGCTATATTTCAGCGGCGATATGGACTTCCATCAAAACTGTTTCGCCGGGTACTTCGCAAGGTAACCAGGTCTAATGCATATTTTCAGCCGAAGGATTTTATTTGGACCATATTCAGATCATCGCAAAACGGTCAGCCGATCAATTTGCACCAGCCCAAGTGATTTGATCAAAACCCCACGTTAAGTACGTGGACGAGTGGTTGACCAACTCCGTCAATTCCGTTTCCTCAAGATCGAAACCAGCCTCTGCTACTTCCGTAACCATGACTAAGCCAGTAAATGCGTCCCCAGCGACAACTCTGGTGCTACCTCCTGCTTCGCCACCAAGCCAAGAGTTCAATACCTGCCCCCAAAGAGCCCAGCAACCATGGCACAATCCCGTTTACACG